GACACTAATGCCATCTATCGGCAAACCATTAAAGTTAATTTAATACGGTTTTGTTGGAAAATAAAGCATCTTTTTACGAATTTCTCAAGGTTATTAACTCAAAAAATGCAATTTTTGAGTTGTGTCACTTTTGAAGCAAGGGTGCGATATATTTTTTTTGTGTCATATTGTATGAACATAATAAGTAGGACATTTTTTTCAGTTTTAAGTTCCTTCTCTGTTTTAGATTTGTCCGAAATCGGGGACACATTGAGCACACCACAAGCAGTACCGATAATTTTGGCCAATAACGATCATAGTTTCAAGCTTGACGAAGAAGCCCTAAAAAAAGTTTTATTAAAAGACGAACTCAAAGACCGATACGTTGTGGTTGTTTCAGTAGCAGGAGCTTTTAGACATGGAAAATCATTTTTACTCGATTTCTTTCTTCGTTACATGAATTCAAAGGTAAATACAAATCCGTGCATAATAATTTTTATTGTTCCAATCGAGTTTAATGTAACCATTTATTCATTTTGGTTTATTACTGATTTGATTGTGCTGAAAGTAATTAGTTTTTTAATTGTGTAATGTATTAAGTTAAATAAGTGATTAATTTTTTAGTATGTTCAAAAACAAAATATATCCGATTGGATAGGATCGGAAGATGCTCCATTAACCGGGTTTTCGTGGAAAGGGGGCTCAGAAAGGGACACAACTGGCATTTTGATGTGGTCTGAGGTGTTCCTAACCGAGCTTGCCACAGGAGAGAAGGTAAATTAGTTCAAACGCACCAAGCAATTATTATGATCGATTTAAAATTTATTGTAGGTGGCTATAATTCTGTTGGATACCCAAGGGACCTGGGACAGTAAAAGTACAGTAAAAGAATGCGCTACAATTTTTGCATTAAGCACAATGATCAGTTCTGTGCAAATTTATAATTTGTCCACTAATATACAGGAGGATGATTTGCAGCATTTACAGGTATAGTGAATTTAATACTTATTATTATCAATAATTTTTATTTATTTTAACTTTCTATAATAATGCACAATAATTTTTAAATGTATTTTTTTTTGTTATGGTTAAATAAAAATAAATAATAATACACCTTTGTTCAGTGAATGGATAAAATAAAACCAATTTTTCTCTTGGTTGCACTGCAAATTAAGCATATCTAATGATTTTTATAGTTGAATAAGTTTGTTGTAATCTTGGTATTTTATTCGTTTGAAACTTTAATTTATTATAATCATATTTTTTATAATTTTTACTTAAAATATGTCGGTACTTGAATAAAATATATTATGCTCTAAAATTTAATTGAAATATAAAATAATCTTGTTATCTATTGATTTAATTATTGATTAATAATTATTGATTAAATTAGTTCTTAACGTGTATCACTTATATGGAATATTTTTTATTAAATTAGTACACACTTAATTCTTGGTTTTATAATAATATGGGTTTTTGAACTAGATTAAAAACTATTGAAATTATTTTATAGATAACAACTAAAATCAGAGTCTTATATAATCAGAGATAATAACAATCTCAATAAAATCAATAAAATAATAACAATCAATAAAATCAGAGATAATAACAATCTGGTGTTTTACTACATTTAAACTTAGTGATTTTTATTATAAAATCAAAATACTGTAGCATCGAAAAAATGATGATAATAATTTTGGTGAGGTCAATCTATAGACGTTTTTTTTTTTCGATTCTAAACTACACCATTTAAAAATATTTTTTACTCAATATCAAAATACAATTTCAACCTTTCAATAAAGAAGAGAGAACGGACCAAGTAATGACATCCAAGGTTTGACCTCCTGCAAAATTATCATCGATTTTTATCCCTAGCCGTCCTCCGATGGCGTTTTTTTGGCGATCATATGGTATATCTTAAAATTAAAGAAAGCGTGGCATTGAGGGTACAGTCTCGCTGTTAAAATGTATAAATTTGTAATATTCAGATAGGTTATTGTTTTATTGTTGTGCATTGTTCTTTGCACTCTGATGGCTATACATGGTACCTTCTAATGAGTGACGAATCACACACGCCGTTGTTCTGAATTTGGAAATGTTAGATTTAGATTTTTTTCCTTTTTAAATTTGAGATAAAATTGGAAAAAATAAGGTAAACATAAAATTGTATAAAGATTGATTATTCAGTAATAAAAAAAATGGTAAAATATTATTTGGGATAAAGAATTCTACACTGGATTTTTTTCTCGTTTTCTTATAGCTTTGCCGGAATACAGCCGATAAGTTTTGCTGATTCAGCAAGACGCCTTTCCAACGTCTCCAGTTCTTGGTGAGGGACTGGCGATTCCCTTTACTTAAGCTCCATATGGTGCTGTGGGAGGTCAACAGATACTGACCAAATGGTCTGGAGGTCAGCGACAATCCAGCATCCTGAGCTGCATCGCTCAGGAGGCACATCATTGTGGCTTGCTTTCCTCCGAGATCGCCTGTTTTCTGATGCCCCATCCAGGGAATAAGGTGGCCACGAGCCCCACGTTTGACGGGGCAGGCAGACTGTCAGGTGAGGCCATCAGAGTTGCTACAAGCTACACAATTGTTATTTTGCTACACATTTGCTACCATGATTGCACAGCTACACCACAATCGCCTGTGCTACACATTTTGAGAATTTACATATTTCTTATAAAAAATAATACCAAAACAGTAAATCAGCTGACAAAAGCTGTTTTTTTTGCTTTTAAGTTATCTAAGTTACATTAAAAGAGGCCGCAAGTAAACTTTAAATTTTGAACCGACAAATATCATTTTCCGTCATCGTCATCAGTGTTCAGGTGTTCAGTAAAATGTCAGAGTATGAACTGCATCATGAATCAAGGACCGTCTATTGGTCGAGTCAAAAACGGTAAATAGACAGGATCAAAGAGACAGGATTGTTTAATTCCTTAAATAACACATAACACCTCTGATAACACGTACCTACTTTGGTTAGGTTTGCTCAATTACGTCATCGTTACGTCACACTTCCACTCGTAGACATACGTGAATAATATTCAATTCCTATTTCATTTCCTCCCATATCAGCAAGAACTGCAGTTTATATAGACAAATTTGGCCGATTAAACTGTCCTGAATTGTTTACAATTTTTAAACAGACTAACCGGTCTAATTTGTCCATAAAATCGTTAGTTTCGTTTTCGTGACATCAATTTTGGCGTAGTTGCAGGGGGATGAATATATTGACTTATGATATTGACATTATACAAACAGTGGAAATTGAGTTTGTTTCTGTCTTTCGTGACATCAATTTTGACGTAGCTATGGGATGAAATATATTGACATGATATTGACGTATACAAACGAGTGGAAGTGAGACTCGTAATCATCACTTTAAAATTTGGCGAACGTAATGTCTTTTCTTGGTCTCATTGGATGGCTTCATACAATTATTGGTCATGGATGGCCACACAATGCTACATACATTTTTATGGTCAAGTCTCTGCACAATCAAAATTTTCTTGTGGCAAACCCTGGAATACATATATATTACCATCTTTGATGTAGATTGTTTACATGATCTGCAGGTTGGGTAGGTCGAAAATTTTATATTTTCTACTGTATTTTAATGATAATTATCAGAAAATTAATTTTCTACATTTTTTACATGTCCAGACGTAGAAAATTAGGTTTGTATATTGTAAAACCGTTCTTTGGGTTTTATATTTATTTCAAATACTCTAGTTACAACGATTAGTGCAAGAAATAAACCAATAACGATATCTCTAATTGTTATTTATTATTTAACAAAGGGATAGTATATAGTATGTCAAAAAAACTTAATCAATTAACTTCCATACATGGCCGGAAGAATGAAATTTAGGGGGGGGCAAGGTAAAAATGAATAAAAAATTGACATTTTTGGTAATTATTGGGAAAACTGGAAATCGTCCGATTTTCACCAAAATTGGTATACACCCTATTTTGAAGTCGTAGATTACGAATTTGAACGTTACGAATCTTTTTTCTTGGCGGTCTCTTACCGTTTTTGAGAAAAACGGAAAATAATTTCAATATCGAATTTTTCTTAATTTCTCATATGTTTAAGGTTTTCTAGCACATATTTTGTTAGGTATTCAATAATCAATAATGTTTTTGCTCTTTTCTGTTACTTTTTTAACCAATTCTATGCATAATAGAGGAAAATTTGTTAAATAAATTTGTAAACTATCTGAAAATGTTAGGTTATAGCTTTGTTTGGGTTCTTGTTATTACCGATTCTGAACCGTCCTAGAACTCTGCAGCGCATGCGCAAATGAAATAATGTCTTAATATTTCCTTCTGCACATACGCATCACAGTTCTAGGACGGTTCAGAATCGGTAATAAGAGAAACCCGAAGTAAGCTTATGTGTTTCTGGCATTTAAAGTTGCCAATGCTAAACGTTGCCAATGCTAAACCTAAATTTAGCGTGTTTTTTTCGCTCATTCTGGAATTACGAAAGGCGGTCGGCAGAAGAACGGCTCCTTCTCATAACTGCTATTTTACCAACGAGATCTGACTATTTATAACTACAAAGTTGCACGAAAGAGTTTTGATTGCATTGGTTACAACTTCCATGCGGAGGGTGTTAATCTTTTGTTATATTATATCAAAAAAAGATTAACCCCCTCCGCAAAGAAGTTAAAACCAATGTAAACAAAACTCTTCCGCGTAACTTTGTGGATATAGGTGTATATTTAATTATTGTCGATCTCATAATAGGTAGTTTATTTAAAATCCCTAATCACCCGAAAAAATAGAAGATATGGCAACGTTGTAAATTGTCAAATTTCTAGAATAGGTCTAGAATATATTTGTCTCCCTCATTACATAGGAGAGAGAAAGAAGGATATATCAAATGTCAAACTTCCATCTGGTCTCAATTTTCTTTGTTATTTTGTCAAGAAAAGTGTTTTTCAGTAAAATGTTGGACATTTTTCTATCCCCAATCAAGTGTGGCTTTTAGATAAACCATAATATAATGAAAATATAGTGAAATTATTACTTTATAGTGCCGAAATAAAGAAAAACTCAATGTTGAAATAATTTTCCGTTTTTCTGAAAAACGGTAAGAGACCGCCAAGAAAAAAGTGGATTCGTAATCTACGACCTCAAAATAGTGTGTATACACTTTTGGTGAAAATCGGACGATTTCCAGTTTTCCCAATAATTACCACATTTTTTATTATTTTACAGGTAACACCTAACAATTTCATAATAATGATTATTTTTTTACAGATGTAAGAAGATAGCTTTTATTTTATTGTTTCAGTGATCCAGGGGGGGCAAATGCCCTCTATCCCCCCTGTCCAGCATACCATGCTTCCATATTATTTTAAATTAATATGTGTACAATGGGAGGATGCGTGACAGTGATTGTTGTGTCATTATAACTCCGCAGGTATATCGTATTTTCCTTCATCTCTCTGTTTGGGCAGTTTGGGTGTTTATAAAACTCAAATTATAAAACGACCTAGGTTTTGTGTATCGTTTATCGCGTATAATGTGTTGGGTTGTGAAGTCAATATAAATCAATATTTAAATTTTAATATGGAAAAAAATTAGTTTTAGTTGCCCTAGCTTTGTCGTGTAGCTGAGGGTTTGAGATTGTGCTCAAATTTGTGTGGGTAATAATTCATAATTTTCTGGTTCTGGATAAATGATGAACTCTTTCTTGGATCTGATTCTGGAATAGATATTTTCAAATAGACAAATATGGCGGTTTAAAATTAATTTAGGCGTCGTTACCCAACCCTGGTGTAAATATCTTTAAACGGGTTAGAATTTTTCTTTTTTTTTTACAGAAATCGATCAAGAATTCAAGGACAACCTGAGGATTTTAGTACCAATGCTGTTGGCGCCGGAAAATCTGGTTTTGAAGAAGATCAACGGGGAGAAGGTGAAAGTGCGCGATTTCGTGCAGTACTGCAAGTCGTACATGCAGATCTACGAGGGGAACGAGTTGCCCGAACCCAAGTCTATGTTGGTGGTAAGTCATTTTTTTCACGCCCCTGTATTATAGGTACGCTGTTTCTAGTGTTACCGGAAATATTTTAATGATTATATTACACAAAATAATATAAAAGTATTCGAAAAACAACAAAGATTATTTAAGGTGTATTAAAGAGTATAAAAGATAAGAAATTAATTCGTTAATAAAGTACATAAATTTTCCTATGTAATGTACCTTATATTTTAAAATCGAATCTATTAAAAAATTTTGAATCATTTTTGGTATTTCGGTGGGCGTAAGATAGATATATTTATAAAATTCTATAAGTAATTATTTTTAAATAGCAATATGATATTACCTAATATCTATTAGTTCAATTAGAATATTATTATTCTATATCCTTGAAAGTTTATTTTTAATTGTTAAATTGAAAACAAATAATCATTTTAATCGTAATGCATGTGTATTTCTTAAAAATTAGATCTTGTTTCTTTTTTTTGAAGGGATAATCCTTATCAATTAACTTTTTTTTAATATTTGACCTTATAAAACCGTGCGTAAACAATGGATTTATTTATCCTAATTAAAGTTTTTAAGCATAGACTGCGTTCAAGGCAAGATTAGTTGTCATATTGCTGAACGCAGCTAAAAAAATATTTTAATCGAATAGCAATTTTTTATGGCTTTTTTAAGAGTTATTTTATGATTGATTAGCGGTTTGCAACGTATATGCTTACATTATTTTTTTTTTCAATTTAATAACGCCTAAGTATAGTCTATTAAATAACTTTGAATTTTGGCCGTTATTTTTCACCAACATGGCAAATATAAAATCCCTCTGTCAAAAAAGTTACTAATCAGATAGGTAACTCTTTTTTAGTTTCGTGAAATAGAAAAGGAAAATAATAAAACAAGTGACAGTTCTTTTTCTTCTCAAAAATCGACACGAAATGTCATAATTGTCAAAAGTAAAATGTCATCAGCTTTTGACATTTCTAAATATCAGACAACAAAGAAAAATGCATGGCCGCAAGTTGCTAACCTAATAAAATTAACACTAGAAAAGCCCGCGGGAACTGTCAAATTCAAAAAGTTATTCGTTTCACAGGCTATAAATGTAACTTTTTTCTTTGTAAATGTATTTTTTATATAAAATTGCAAATATGTACCTATAATTTATAGGCAAAATGTATTTTTATATGGGCTTATCATATTGTCTCATTTTGGGTTGTTATTTCCTGGTTAACATGTATCGACAATTTGTTTTAGCAGCGTCATCAATCAATTATCTTAAAATCCCCTAAAAGTGTATTGCCAACTTTGTGAATTGTTCCGTATGATAATTCTTGTCTAGGCAACCGCGGAGGCGAACAATCTGGCAGCGGTGGCCGACGCCAAGGACGTCTACATCCAGCTGATGGAGGACGTGTGCGGCGGTGCCAAACCGTACTTAAAAACGGAAGCCATCGAGACCGAACATAGGAAGGTTAAGGACAAGGCCATCGAACAATTCAACAAGAAGAAGAAGATGGGAGGGGACGAATTCAGTGCCATGTACAAGGACCAATTGGAAAAGGTATTTATAACGTCATTTATTATAAATATATTTTAAAATATTGTCAAATGTAGGGAAAAATATTGAAAAATACCGTTTTTTATTAACGTTTTGAAATATTTTATTTGGAAAATATTTTTTTGGTTTTACATTTTTTATGTACCTCCGTAAATTTTTCACTCTACGATAATTTCAAATTGTTGTCAACTTTTACAATATTTTGATTACTGAAGCCAAATCATAAAGATGAAACTATTTAGGAAAATCTTTGTCTTTGGGGTAGGCAATCTTAATAGTATTTTTTGAAGATGTTTCTTCTAGAGTCCTAAAATCAATTAATTTCAGCGGTTCCCAAAATGTTCAAAGTTAAATAACTCGGTTACACAAGGTGGAGTTACACAAGGTTACCACAAGGTGGAGTAACCCCCCCTTTGCTGTGGAGCTTGGTGGTGGATGAACTACTAGATGAATTAACTCTAGCGGGAATACACTGCATTGGGTATGCAGATGACGTAGTCATGATCGCTCGGGGGAAACACGAAGGCACCTTGTGTGATATTATCCAAAGAGGACTCCGTATCACTGACAGATGGTGTAGGACGGTCGGGCTGAGTATCAACTCAGACAAAACCGCGATAGTGCCATTCGCCAGAAGGCGAAGTCTGAAAAACTTGAAAAGAATCCAACTAGATGGAAAGGAAATACTGCCAACACAGGAAGTTAAATACCTCGGAATAACCCTGGACAGTAAACTCCTGTGGAACAGGCATATTAAGAACACTACCAGCAAAGCCATAAAGGCTCTCATGATATGCAGAAGACTGGCCGGAAATAGATGGGGCTGCTCCCCTAACATTTTGCGCTGGATGTATACCATGATAGTAAGACCCATGATTACTTATGGAGCAGTTGCCTGGTACACAAAACTAGAGCAACGAACGGCAAGGCTAAACCTATGCAAAGTCCAGAGACTAGCATGCGTTTGCATCACAGGAGCCATGAGAACCTGTCCAACAGCAGCAATGGAGGTCATTCTAGATCTAACACCACTGCACATTGTCATTGGTAGATATGCCAATGCGACAATGATTAGAATGGTCACTAACGGAATTAGTACTGGGAGAATTGTCAGATCAGGGGCTTGGAACACCCTCAAAAAAGAAATACCACTCCTGCAACTCCCATTGGACGATATGCCAAAAACGTACAACTTTGACAAACATGTCAATGTAGTATTGAGCAATAAGAAGGATTGGAAGAGCGAAACGCTTGCCCAGCAGTTAAAAGACCATACCATAACTTGGTATACTGGTGCTTCCAAAACCAATACGGGAACAGGGATCGGAGTGTTTGGGCCGAGAGCTAATTACTCCGAACTAATGGGCACTTACCCTAGTATCCTACAGGCAGAAATCTACGCTATCGAGAGATGCGTACAACTTATCTTAGATAGGAACTATCGGAAACAAGAAATAGCCATCTTATCTGATAGTCAAGCAGCGTTAAAGGCGATCAACTCAGTATCAATCAATTCGAAATTGGTCAAAGAATGCATAGAGAAGCTGAATAAATTAGGCAAAGAAAACAAAGTCCTCCTACACTGGGTGCCTGCTCACCAAGGGATAGAAGGCAATGAAAAAGCAAATAATCTAGCTAGGAAAGCAGCGAACACTCCACTAACTGAACCAGAACCGTTCTGCTTTCCAAGTGGTAACCAACTCAAGGCGGAACTCAAGAACTTGGAAGATTCCATCCGCAACCTGGAATGGAAATTTTCCAATGGTCTAAGACACTCGAAGAAGTTTCTGAGGGCTTATGATGAAGAAAAATCACAGATCTTCCTGGGTCTGAGTAGAACAATCTTCGGATTGTCACGGGGTTTTAACAGGACACTGTCTCCTCAATGAACACCTCAGTAGATTGAAACTAAGAAGAAACGGCGAATGCAGATTCTGTGGGGAAGATGGGGAAACACCAGTACACCTCATCACTGAGTGCGCCGAGACGACAACCATTCGTGCCATGAATTTTGGTACGACTGATATTGGAGATGGAGAACTACCCTCTATAAAACCGTCCCAGATACTGGCTTTTGTCAGAGCCCTGGGACTGTATGATGAGTTATGATTGAAGAAAGGGGGACACAATGGATCTGTAAGGTCGAAGTGATTAACCCCCCTCCCACTCATTCTAAATTCTCTCTCGGTTAATTAACTCGGTTATTTTTAATTTACTTTAAAAATGATAAAGAGAGAGAAAATATGTTTCTTTTGGCCAGATCTATCACCCCTTAAATTATCTGCACTTATTTCTATACTTTTTAAAAATGCTCTAAATTAACTACCATATTATATGCTCACAAAATTTAATATCTATACAAATTGTCGTTCTCCTTGGAGCCTCCGTGTTGTATGAGAGGTGCTACCCTGTATCTCTGATTGCATCATGCTTGTTTTAATGATCAATTTTCGTGAAAACCTGGTAAATCTTTTTTTTTAACTTCTTTTCAGGACATCGAAGAGACGTTCCTCCAGTTCAAGTCCCACAACGAGAGCAAAAACATCTTCAAGTCGGCGCGAACGCCCGCAGTGTTTTTCGCGCTGGCCGTCTTCTTCTACGTCACGTCCGGCCTGTTCGGCCTTTTCGGCCTCTACTCCCTGGCCAACCTGTGCAATTTGGGCATGGCCGTGGCCTTCATCACCCTAATGGTGTGGTCCTACGTCAGGTAAATAATATATTTTGTTATAATGTGCGATCGATTAATAATTTGTTATCGTCGTTTGGGTCGGTAAAATTAATGAAAGCGTTTAATGTAGATGGGATGCAAAGTTCAGCGAGGTTAACGGAATTTGCTTAATGATTGTTTTTATATACGGGGTGTGTAGATAAATAAGTGTGAATAAAATACATACGGTGGGTAAAGAAAATAAGGAGGGTTTTATTTGGGGATTTTAAATTTTACCATAAATCTATTTCGTCCCAAATTCGAAAGTATAGCAGATGTGAAAGAGGTAAAATTATTCTGGCAAAGGTACAATGAGTACAATGCGTTTATAATGCACTGAACAAAGAGAGAACAGTAAAAACGTTGCCAAACGTATGAAATAAACCGAGAAACTGTGCACATTGCTAAGAGACGCGAAAAGGGATATAGCAGATTCGTCGCGGTCGACTCAATCAGTACCATATCAGTACTTAAAATTAGTAGTGGGAACTATCGAATGAATACTATCGAAACATTCGATAGTTGCAATTCATTCGAATAATTCGATAGTTAGTAAGAAAACATTCGTTGAAAACTATTCGAATAAAAATTATCGAATAGATCCGGTATAGCCAGGGAATAAGGTCGCCACGAGCCCTACGTTTGACGGCAGACTGTCAGGTGAGGCCATATATATTACCATTTCGATGTAGATTGTTTACATGATCTTCATGGTTGAGTAGGGAAAATTTGTTATATTTTCTACTGTATTTTTTACGCGTAGAAAATTAATTTTCTACATTTTTTACATGTCCAGTAAACCGTTCTTTGGGTTTATATTTATTTCAAATACTTCAGTCACAACTAGTAGTGGGAACTATCGAATGAATACTATCGAAACATTCGATAGTTGCAATTCATTCGAATAATTCGATAGCTAGTAAGAAAACATTCGCTGAAAACTATTCGAATAAAAATTATCGAATAGATCCGTCATCTGCCTTGAAATATTGTATTCTAGTAATTCGGCAGCAAAAACCCCATTCATTTATAAAATTCATTCATTTATGAAATTCATTTATTCCTCAGGATCGATTATAATAAAATATTAACTGGATTTTAGTTGTCGCCCGGCGACGTAGGTTTCTTTCCGAGAAACCCGACAGCGGTCGGTGGCAATGCTATGAAAGAAGCCGGCATCTTTGATTTTTTGCGGAGTCAGATAAAAATAAGGACACATTATTTTTTTTTATTGAGGTGCTAGTGTTTACACAGAAAATATATTATGAAGGGCGCTGTTGCCATATTTTGGTATTAGTTGATATTAGCAAAGAATATTATTGTTTGGCTTTAGTTAGTTAGGGCTTGTTAGGGATAGTATGTCTATATATTGTGCATTTTTTTTATTAATATTCTGTTGTTACACTGCAATAATACTTGTTATTTTGGATATAGGAAAATGATTTATAATGTTTTTAAGCAAAGGCTGGTTTAATAAATAATAATAACGGTAATAATTTGTTATACCTATTAACAACAAAATTTAAAATCATTTAATATAAACATTTTTTTAAGTAGTAGCAAAATATAAACAACAAATTAGATGTCAAAATTATTTATATTATCATATTTAAAAATAATATAGTCTCTAAATTTTTTGGCAACGTTGGTTTATTAAAGAATAATAATTACAGAACTAATTTGTTATATTAACAACAAATTTTAAAATCATGAAATATAAACGTTTATTAATTTTCTAAGCGTGCAGTGCAATGGAAGGAAAATATAAATAAAAAATTAAAAATCAAAATTATTTATATTAGGTGCTTTATATTACTATTTAAAAGTTATATTTACTTTTGCTGACATTTACTTTAAAAAATAAATTAAATATTTCTTCGCAAAAAACTACATGTAAGAGAATTAGCATAAACAAAATACAAACATCGTTAACATTTTTTTTAAATTGGCACGTGTAAAACTTTCATTTTAATTTTCTCACCCCATAGTTTGAGTTCACCATTTACTTAACCACATTACTTAAATATGATTATTAAGTTCAACTAATTCATATTATTAAAACATCTAAAATACAAATATGTATTTATAAAATTAATTGTAAGTTCATCTCATCTCTCTTAAAAATTGCTACTTCTCAAAATTTCCCATTAAAAAATAGACCATATACCATATAAAATTAAATAATCGAAAGATCGGACTACGGAAAACCACACAAATTTTCGGAAAAATTTTGACCACCTGCACATGCACACAATCATCAATAAATAAAATTAAAAAAAAAACTACTATTTTAGTATTTTAAATATTTTAATAAACGCAAAAATAGCACAGTATTTATACGGCGAAGTTATAAAAGTTTGGGAGAACTAATAATGCACTGACGCACACAAAAATCAAACGAATACTAAATTTCATTTATCAAAAGCATTCGATAGTCGTGGCTCAACGATAACCATTTAGTCGCACGGCGAGGTTTCACATATGCTTTAGTATACAAATGAATGAATGATTTTATTCGAATAAAACCATTCGATAGTTGAAATCATTCATTCAGTAACCATTCGATAGTCTAATTCATTCGATAGTTCCCATCACTACTTAAAATTCTAAGAAAGGGTGTACATCATGCGTTCAGCTTCACGATTTAATTACGTCTCGTGATACTTTATTTCTTTACTTAATAACGAGTCGTTGTAGTTTTCACTATAGCTTGTAAATTTTTAAGTGCAAGTTAGAAACATTTACACTTTTGGTAAAACTAAGCGGAATTTAGTTGGTGTTCGACAGTGGTCGCGATATTAGAACTCTGAATTCAAAAAACGATATTTTGAAATCCATTAGAAATAATTGATTGTAGTTTTTTTCAAAAATTTTCTTAATATTTCTGCTATATTTTCTTCGCAGACAGTATGTGAAAATCTTTATAAATAAAAAAGTTACACGATTGCCGAAAATTGCAATGCACTAAAAGACTAAACCCATCCATTTAGGTTTTTTTTAAATTTTTGAATGAAAAAAAAAAACAAGCCTATCGAAAGTTCCTTATTTAAACATCTTGTAAAAGATCTGAACTTCAAAATTCAGTACCGGAGAAATGTGGCAACGTCGCAACAGCACACCGTTGCATTTCTCTCACTCCGACTTAATAAGATCCCTATGCGATTTACTTTCACACATGTAAATACCGGTAGAGAAGGTTTTAAGGAAAAAAAACCTGAATATAAATAACGTTTTTTTTGCATTAATACTTACTTAATATTTAATACATATTTATGTATTTTTTAATTTCAGATATAGTGGCGAATTAAGAGAAGTGGGAGTAGCGATCGATGAAACTGCCAATTTTATTTGGGAAAATGTAAGTTTATTGTTATTATTTTTATACTACTGAACATTAACATAAATTAAAAATTAGCTACATACGACATTGAAGTTGAATAAATGATTAGTTTTTTTTTTTGTTGTTCCAAAACTAATACCACTAACGCAGAGTATTTTCTCGTTTTTGTTTTAGCGGTCCTATTTTAAAAAGCGAAAACTAAGAAAACAGAGTATGTATCAAAAAATAATAATTAATCTGTGCATGCGGCTTTGCGAAAACACTTTTTAGCGTAATTTTTTATTATTTTTTTGGCGAATTTAAAATTCGATAATTTTTGTGGCAGGAATAAAACTCAAATATACATGGTGTCGCTATAAATTGATATATGGTTATGTTAAAAAAGGGGGTTCCTAAAAGTTAATAGGCCCAATTAACCATGACGTTATATGATATCAGTTAAGTATTTTTGTAGTATGATACTATACAGTATGTCCCGGATTGTCTTTACAAAAGGAAAAACGTTTTTTATTATTGACATTTGGAGAAAAATGCATGAAATCTTCATAAAATTTTTTGCTTGTTCTAAAGGTGCGTTCAGACGGGCTGCGCCGCTGAAATCATTTTTTTAACATATACTTTTGTGCGCGCTTAAAAAATACACTTCAAAAGTACATGTTAAAAAATGTTTTGCGCAGCGCCATTTTATGGAAAGCACTGTTCATTAAAATGTTGTATCCTATGTTAAAGGGCTTGTTTCTCTCTACAATTTCCTGTCTCACAATGTACCGTTTGTGACCAGGAAGGATTCATAGTTTCATAGATGTCGATTTTCGAAAGAAATCAGAACATTATTATTTCGTATATTTTTCATTTTATTGATTTTATGGAAAGCACTGTTCATTAAAATGTTGTCTTCTATGTTATAGGGCTTGTTTCTCTCTACAATTTCCTGTCTCACAATGTACCGTTTGTGTCCAGGAACAACCTTTAGAACAAGCAAAATTTTTTATGAACATTTCATGCAGTTTTCTCCAAATGTCAATAATAAAAAAGTTTTTCCTCTTGTAAAGACAATCCGGGGACATACTGTATAATGAAATTAACTCTATATTACATCAGTAAGTTTCTTGTACCATTCCTGTGTTTCCTCTGTACCAACCTGTATATTTGAATATTTAATAATAAATGGAATAAAATCTAGTTAGATACACTTTGTAAATTTATTTTTTATTTTTTATTTTAAATTGTATCACGTGTATATTAAACACAGCTTATATTTTGTATATATCTATGTTATATTATTTATTTCCTGGTTCGTGCTTATTTATACTACTTTTATATTACTTATATTATTTCAAGCTAATTCCTATCTTTTTTGCATGCTGATTCTGAATATATATATCGAGCGGTAGATTACTCACAACACAGTATTTTTTGGCACCATATAAATTTTATTTCTTTACATATTTATTATTGATTAATACAATTTTAGTAATGTGTTTCTTCGTTCTTTTAACTACTTATACACGCATTCAAAATTTCAGCTGAATCGGAAAAAATAGTTTATAATAATATAGTGTCTAATGATGATACAAATTCATTGGGCAGAAAAATCAGTACCTTCAAATTTATATTTTCAACAATAATCTGGCATGCAATTCTAATAAAGTAAACGTGGTGAGTAACTTTATACAAAGTCCAAAATTGAACATTAAATCTTCAGCTGAAGCACTGGAAAATTTAAAAGATTACCTACTTTGTTAAAATAAGATGTGACGAACATTTTAAAATATTTATGGATTAGGTATTGAAGAAGAATTTCCTCCTTTACGTGCAACACGTATTCGAAATTTAACATCGTTTTTTCAAATTGAACTGTACTAATAAAATGATTCTTGACATTACCGGTCACTCTTGCAACTGGATAACGTTCATTCTAGAAATTTAAAAGAAAAGTTAGTAAAAAACTATCTTACATCATCAATGAGCCAGGAAAGACTATCGGCTTTGGCAATTATTTCTTGGACACGAATTGTGCGATATTATAGACCTAAACAGTATATTAAAAAAAATTCAGAAACAAAAACGCCGATTTCAAGAAATATTTCGTAAAACATTTCGGGGATAGTGTAGCGGCTGTTTTAAATCACTTTAAAAAATATTTTAATGAAAAATCAGAGATCCTTTGAAATTATGAAAACCTTTTATGGCACTCGGCGAAGGAATTTAAATATTACAACCATTACAAGCCTCAATTTTTTGCGTCAATAAATCAAGAGAGCAAAGCCCGGGATTTTAAAAAACACTTCAATTGGTTTTATTACGGCATAAAGCCGATTTTATTTATTTTTTGTTGTTCAAAAATCGGATTTGTTTTTGAAACAAAATTCATATACAAGGTTATTACCTACCTATATTAAGTACCTACTTGTCTTTATACACCGTATTTTGGTATCCGCACTGGTATACTATAAAGAAATGTCACTCTCTATGCATATAAAGTTGGGGACATGAACACTCACCTGAAAAAAAGAAAAAAACATGTAAATTAATAGTCCAAGAAAATAGGCCTTCAAAAACGAAGTTTTGGTAAAAACTTAACTTTTTCATATGCGTTACTTTGTAAGATCCAAAAGAAAAAACATGTAAATTAATAGTCCAAGAAAATAGGCCTTCAAAAACTAAGGTTTGGTAAAAACTTGACTTTTTCATATGGACGTTTACTTTGAGAGATCCAAAAAATTAATTCCCTAGTAAATTAAATAAATAAAATTATTCTTTCATAATTTAGGAGAAGCGACAAGCGACTAAAAGGTCAAATGTTGTAGAGCGTCTAATTTTACGTAAAAATGGTCTGTATTTTTTTTGCTCAAATCAAAATTAACCGAGGCTAGAAGCTAGAGGACAGCTTTTATTGAAAAATTACTAGTCCTTACTTTGGAAATTTGAAAAAAAAAACACTTTATTTATATTTTTCACCCCTTCTCGGGGTTAATTTAAAAAATCTTAAATAAAATTTATAATTTTCGAAACAAATTGAATTAAAATATATGAATTTTTCAGCAACTTATAATTTTTTTTTAATTTCTACTATTATCCCCTAGCTTCCAGCCACCCTATCTCGGTTAATTTTGATTTGAGCAAAAAAACTATAGAGACCATTTTTATGTAAAATTGGACGCTTTACAACTTTTATTAACTTTTTTTTTCTAGTTCTTACTGTTTCTCCGAAATTTTGGAAAAAATAATTTAATTTATTTATTTCACCCTTCTCGGGGGTGAATTTAAAAAATCTTTTCTCACTTCGATTTTAGATCTTTCAAAGTAACTTATATCAAAAAATTCAAGTTTTTACCAAAACTTAATATTTAAAGGCCTATTTTCTTTGACTATTAGAAAACGGACAAGTGCTCGTCCTTTGAGGGTTCCGTATAAAAACTATTTTTTATGATTTGAGGAATCTCTCCACGAGAGATGGCACATGTTTTTTAAAACACGCTGATGTATAGATGCTGAATAAATCGCTGTATCATTGCGATAAAAAAAGTACCACAACAAAATATGATTTAATCTTTGAATAAGAAGACTAGATTTAATCTACGACAATGTCATTATGACACATTTAACATTGTCATTTGGATGTCATTATTACATCATTATTATACCTAACCAAATTCACACATAATAACATGCAAATTTTAAAATAAGAAACAAGCAAAAAAAGGTACCTAAATACGTTTATTTATTGTAAACATTAATTATAATACCAGTACAATTGGTTAAATTAATTCCAGACGATGACAGGCGAGTTGAATTTTTAGAAAGTTTTATTTCCTGAGTGCTTGAACTTGTTGAAGACCCATCATTACCAAAAATGTTACCCAAAATAATACATGACACTTTTTCTTATTTTCTTTGGATTTTCTATATAGCTCTCTGCCACTGTGTTAGAGCGCTAACCACCATGTCTTTTAACAGTTAATAAATCCACTCCTGAACGATCTACGGAAACAATGTCCAGTGTATTGTTGTGGATTTGGAAGACTTAGGAACAATGTTATTTTATTCGGAATTTTCCCTAAAGTATTAATGCCAACGGGTTGCTTAATACATTTTCCATTTCTGTACCCCATGTTCGAACCATTTCCACCATATTTATTCCTTCAACATTCCCTTTCGGTATAACAAAATCTCGTGATATCTTTGTTTTCGTAAATGGAATAATGACATAAATGCATGTCCTTTATCTTTAATATTTTGCAGCTGCAGATTTGTCAACTCGATACGCCGCCGGCAGGCTCCCGCAAGTCCCACTATCAATGAAACTTTTGTCAGGAAATAAGTTTTATCATCAGCTTCCAACAAAAAACGAGTCTTCTTTTCTTAAAATTCTTGATTTTTTTGACCGAAATCCTTCCGATTTTCTTTTTAGAAATGCAATTAAATACCGTACTTACTAATATCTGTATTTTTCTTCACTGATATAACTGAACGTAGCATGGAATAATAATATATGTTTTGAAAGATGTTCAAAATATGCCAGGAGAACCTTTTCGTTACTACTGTTCTCGATTCCTTTCCCTTTACACCAATCTTCGTTTTACATAGGCTTGCTCTGTACGTTTGTCTTGATTTTTCGGGAAGTAGGGAATCGACAACGTTGTGCGCAATGCCTTCAATATCCGAAGGGACACTTTCAGAATCAGAATCACCCATATTAATATTATTTTTTGCTTTTACTAAAACTGAACGTATAACACAAAATTGAACATCAATAATTGAGTTGTCAAAGTCAAAATGGAAACAATCAACAAGCACGATTACCACGGCGTCGACTAATATGGGCACCTGATAATTTTGAATTTTAATTTTTATGAGAATATCTCTGATATTTTAAATTAAATCAAATCTCTTTGGATCGTCCTTCGTGTCGTGTCGTAGATTAAATTTTGAATGATACGCGTTTGATACGACTCAAACTTCAAACTTTTTAATGGAACTTGTGTAACTAAGCCACTCGGCTAACGCCTCGTGGCTTAACGTTACACACGTTTCATTATTATGTTTGTATCGAACTTGTATCATTAATAACTATAATCTGCTGGTCTATAATAAAATATTTTCTTTCAAACTGATAACTCAGTGTCATCAGAATTCTTGTGTCAATGTCACGTAATTTTTAAAAAATTCCTTTAACTTCAGAGCAAAAAGGGATGGGGTTCCCATAAGGGACATTGCAGATGCATTAGGGATAAAAACTATTAGGATATTGTTTTCATAGTGATGACGATATCTACTTCTCG